CACCTGTCCTGTCTGAGTGCATGAGCTCCCCAGGCCTGTGCATGTTAGAAGGGCACCTGGACAGGGGCTTACGCTTGCTCAGTGAGGTGACACTCTGTGCTGGCTGTGGGCACTGCAGGTACCACAGCAGGAGGGGCATAGGCGCTGTTCTTCACCACAGGGGACCCCTCCCTCCCCACCACACAGAGGAGGAGACTGTGGAATTGTCCCTGCTCCACAGTGGGCTGGGAGGACAGACACAGCATGGCTCTCCCCAGGAAAGTGCCATTTGGAGTAATCAGTTTTTTAATTACTAGTAATTAAATGTGTGTAACCTGCCCAGCTGCCACTCCAGGAACTGGGACAGAACTCCTGGGGGCGCAGTGGGTCAGGCGCACCCTGGGAGCAACAGAACCCCTCTGCCACCTCGGCACTCACACAGAGGAGGGCAGGCAGTGAGCAGGGTTGAGCGGAAGTCTCCTGGCACCTGAGCAGGGCAGAGGAGGGCATGGACAAGAGGCCCTGAGGGCTTCCGCTGCAGGTGGGCTGCCCTCATTCCTATCTCAGGGGTCCCAGTGTCCCTGGGGCCTGTCTCCATCTTCCGTCAGCCCAGAGCCAAAGATGCCTGCCCAGGGCATGCCCAAAAGCTGTGCTCACAGGGGGTCCCACCCTGCGGGTGCCTACCCTGCAGCCCCCTGGTCCCCAGCCATTCTCAGAGCCCCTGCCATGTGCTGGGTGCTGGACATAAGTCTCCAAGACCATGCAGCAGCCATCTCTCAGGGGCGCCTGCGTTCCCCCTCCAGGTTCACCGAGAGGCTGCCTGTGGTTGCTGGCTCTTGGCTGCCTGGTGTTGCGCTCCAGGTGACACCTCTCTCTGCAGCTTGTCCCTTTGCTAGGCCCTTGGCTCCCTGACATCTGCGCTTTGCTCTTCCTCTCATGCTGTGTCCCCCTCTCCACTTTCTCTCTTTCCCACTCCCCTGCCCTTTCAACCTCTCCCCAACTCAGTGTCTTGCGGAACACCTAAAATGCGGGAAAGGCGGCCTTCCTTTCTCGCAGTTCCCATTGGGGGAATGGGCTGGTGGGGGCTGCGCCTGCTGGGATGAGGCCTGGCCCAGCCTGATGATGCTTTAATTAAACTGGTCCTTATAGGAGCTCTCCACGCCGCCAGTGCTGGGGACTCCAGCCCTTTCAGAGACAGAGCCTCCCGAGATTTCCCGAGGGCTCCCCCAGGGGCCCACACTTCATTGCGCCCTTCACTCCATCTCCCCTCAGTGCATCCCGCCTCTGGTGAACATGACTTTGCATAGGCTCTAGACAAATAGGAAGAGAGTTCCAGCAGGTGCAGCAGGATTGGGGGCCATGGCCTAGATGGGATGCGAGAGGCACACTGGGGGAGGGGTTTTGACGCGCATTCCTAGAGGGATGCAATCCAGGCGGCGCCAAGGCTATAGCAGACCGGACTGCTAGGGCGTGTCCCCTCCCCCAGAGCCAGGTTTCCCTCATCTGTCAAACGGCAGTGGTGACAGTCCTGTCTTCAGGTTCACGAGCATCTGCGTGCCTCTGAAAGCCCCTTGCCAATGTGTAACATGGGGTTAGTGCACGGAAAGCAAGACACAATAAAAGACACAGGAAGCCATGCGCACACACACAGTGACTGTGGCTCCTGTTAACTCCAAGGAAACACGCTTTGGAGGCTCATACTGGAGCCTTTCCTCGCCTCAGACCAGTTCTTCCAGAGTCTACCTGTAGTTTTTCCTGTAACGGCGAAGGTATAATGCCACCCTCCCACCCCTGCGAGAAAGCAGACGGTCCCCCTTTGAGCCACAGTGCTCAGAATGCCTCTTTCTCCCCTGGGCACTGGTCCCTGCCCCACAGCACCCAGTACTCAGGGCATCACTTGCCCTCGCCCCTGGAACTGCCTTCCAGGTGTAAGCCAGCAAGTCTGCCCTGGGCACTGGCGCCCAGACCAGCGAGGCAGGCCAGTGGGCGGTGTGCTTACTTGGCACTTACTCTGCGTCCCAGTCCTGTGCTGGGTACCATCCTGTCCTGTGGAACTCAGC